TCTACCATTCGGAGTGTAGTATCCATTATATTTGTAGCTAAAATTACTTTTCCGTTTTCCAGGATGGAAATCCCGATATTTTCGGATGTGGTACTCGCGCGTATATAATATCGGCCTATTAATTTTTACAGGAAAGTTTGATCCAGGAAGAATCTAAAAATACAATGAAATATAGGGTGTTCCATTTGAAAAATCAAGTAGTACTATGTAGATCGTTTGTTCCGAGCACCCTGTATTTTGTAGAAGCGAAAAAGTTGAGGACAAGGCCGTGCCCAGGATATTTTTCGGAGGGGGGGCCAAAAAAAAGAACAGCTAATCCAATTTTTTTTCCAACTTGAGGCAATAAGTCATAATTAGGCAGTCATTTCGGGGGGTCCGAACCCCCTACTTCTGTGCACGGCCACTTTTGTGAAACACCCAGTATAATATATTGCCTCGACACTATACAATAAGCCTGCATCTCTCCTACTCGTGACCGCCAAGTTTCTTTTAGTCGAAGAATTTTTCTCACAAACATGGGGGCCCCCACGACGTGTACAAAAGAGAGAGAGCCCTACCTGCAGTGCCTGCAAGCGTCTAACGTGACATTTCCGCCCTGATTGTGGAGTACGCTCGGTTTCATAATGTGCCAAGCAGAGGATACCCAAATTCGAGCAGGAAGCTCTTGAATTTCAGCTTTCGAGCACAATAGGTGCTGAAACGACTATGGTAAAACAAAACCAACGAACGAACAAAATACTCGACAAAATATCACGTGAAATAAGATAATATACCTACGTACTAAGATAATCAATATAAAAATTTCACACCAAACATTTTCGATCAATTTAAAGCCTGTATTTCGTATCGTTACCATAGCAATTAAACAAATTTATTGGAAATTTTTTCCTTCTTGGGGGACGCAGCATGAAATTACACTGGAATTTTTTTGACGTTTATAGTTCAAATGACATTTACATACAACTTCAGATTATTTCGAGATCATTCTAGGAGTCAATAAATAAAAATCATTTTTCTGCAACCGACACAAAAGTCGTCCATTTTGATACCAAAATTAGCTCTTAAATTGACGTTTCTATTACTGACACAAAAATAGGTATGTTGCTAGGCAACACATTTAGTTCCTAGGAGCTAAAGTTGAATTTTAGTTCCTAGGAGCTAAACTTGAACTTTAGCTCCTAGGAACTAAAAAAGATGTACTGGGCGTCATCGAGAATGAACAACATTGTGACGGTTGGTTATTTGGGTTGAGACGCATACCTGATTTGTTTCCGATTTCAGCAGATTTGGCATTTCATACCCATGCTGGAGATATAAATACACCTTATTATAATAGTTTGGTATTGGAATTATATACATCTCAGTTAAGTATTTTTGTTTTGATCAGGGAAGCCTTCAAGATTCAAATACTTGCTTGATCTGTATTTCATTCGTTATTCTCGGGATGGATAACTTGTTTTTGAATAATCACGGCAAGCAATCGGATTTTTGTCTCGAACAACGATGTTGTTTAGCTTCATTTGATCATCAAGTCAAACACAATGTAGTATGGAGAGGAATAAATAATCACTATTATCATTGTTGATATGTTCACTAACCTAACATTTTCCACGTCTTGTTCCTATTCCTATACTGGCGCGGTATTTGCCATTAGAGCACCTGTCCATGCACAAATATTTCTAAAGTGAGTACCTTTTTCCTGTATATATTTATGTATATTCGGGGTGACACAGAATCAAGGTATATCCCCCTTTTCTCCTTTGTTTTTCTACCTATATTTCTGAGATTTGGAACATCGAATATGCTCACTAGAGGGCACTTTCTCACATTTTAGGATTTTTGTTTTCCATCTTCCGGTTTCATTTCCCCATAATCATAATATTATAGTAGGTAGGAACCGAAATAAATAATAATTAATACGTATTGGAACTTGTGAGTTAACTGACTGCAGACATCAGAGCATCGGTGACCGACGGCTGTCACCTGTCATTATTAACGAACGATACAAACAAGACATGATACATCCGATCTACTTTTTCTTTGTTTATTTCGGAGGAAGTTGCGGGATACTAAAAACGACGCAGACAAAACAAAAACAGCCGTCGAAGTCTATAACGAGTTTCACTCTGATACTAACTAGGTACCTATTGAAATTCTCATTCTACCACTACCATACAGGCCTCAACTCGTAATAAAATAAGAATTGTTGACTTTACAATTATTGACAATTACAGCCATTCTCAAATACATTTAGAGAAATACCTAACTCGGAAAAAATCACCTACTTAGGTAGGGGTAGGTATAGGTAATACGATACGATATACGATGATTGTATTGAAAGATGTGGGAAGAATACAGAGAAATATCACTACCACTCACTACTTACCTACTTGCCCTTGGGTGGTTATACACTAATAGTATGATTCTAAAAGTTACTTCGTACCTACCATACAATGAAATAGAAATTGAGAAAGAACCCATATTCAATTTTTACTATACGATTTCACAAGGAATATGTAAAGTGGTATCTATTTTTTCATTGGTACTCACGTTTAAGGAAAGCGCCAACCTGCTTGTTCTTTCCATGATGCAATGTAGACTAGACCCAATGCCTTTGTCACTGTGTTATTTGTTAATTGTTAAATCTCATGTTTGAACCACCATGAAAGTCACGAAACCACGTTGAACCCGCTAAAACCTTGGTGAAAACTAAATACTCATCAACTTATATTTTTATACCACCTCGATGGGCGTTGTCCACCATTTTACGTGCATTTTACCACAGTAGAGAGACAATCGATTTTTTCTCATGCCACAGCCACCTTGACGGCAATCAAGAACACAGTCATCAACACACCACAGAACACACGTTGCCACAAGGGTACGTTCCGAAATATCAGGTTGATTTCTAATACATGCAAATAATGTTTCTGTACCTATACAGAATGTATCTGAATAACACCAAAAAAATTGAAGGGGTGATGCCTGTGAAATTTTAGCAAATAAATTTCGTGATACAGGGTAGGTATTAATATTTCCATGCAATATCGTTTTTTTATTCATTACTCAAATGTCTTTCCATCAATTCAAATAAAACGTTGTGGTTTTGTTGGTACTAATATGGAGCTTCTCAAAATAATATTTCCAGTGGCGTCACAGTGGGTAAATTTATCGATATTTATGGTGAATGCCATTGTACGCCACCGGTTTTCTCAGTTTCAAATTCTTATAAGATAGAACTATTGAAATAACAACTTTTTTATCCTCTGTGTGATTTTTGTATCTAGCTTAGTTTTCCAGGAAACAATATAAAAACTCGATTTGACTCCAAATTTTAATGTAGGTGTTTTCAAGATGAGATTACTCAATAACTCCAATTACGATCATTTTGAAATTTTGGGACTTTGTCATTCTCCAACCATACCTATACTGAATTTCTGCACCATGAAAGCTTATACAGGAGGGTTATAAATGAAAACAAATAATACTTCCAACTTCAACATCCTGTTTCTCAAAAACGAAGCAAGTTAGGACACATGTTTATATGAACTGTATTTGCTAAAATTTCAGAAGGAATCAACCCTTCAATTTTTCCGCTGTTCTTCAGATACACCCTGCATAAGGATGCTACCCACTTCCATTACTTTTCCAGTATATAACTACTTACTTCTATTCCATTCTCTGTTTTCTCATGCGAACTCGGTATCAGCCCATAAATTCTGGCACCGGCTCCTCGCCAATTTCCTCAATTTTTGCAAGAGGACATGATCCAAATTGAAAACGACCTGTACGAGATTCAAAATAAATAGGCTATATAGATGCGATGCGGCATAGTGGTGGAGATCTAATAAAGATTTAACTCTGTTCTGTTCTGTCTACCTCCAAAAAGCGCAATGCGATAGTAAAAAAAAGGGAAGAGATCGCCTATACGTGGAGCTCGGAGTGGTCCCCTAGGGCAAGGAGAAATGTAATTGCGTTTCATACTGGACCGGGTATATATCTAGTTAAAGTCTGGGGCGATGAGATGAGATATACTGCTTGAATACCAATGGAAATTTTGCGTGTTTTTATTCGAGTAAGGTATGGCACGATTGGCACGTAACGAAATGTCTCTACCTCCGTCGTAAGGTCTCCGATGACTCTCCATCCACAGAATTTGTGTCTCCATCTTTTTAATTTTGGCTTTGGTTAGGTTCCTGATTGACTAGAAGTTATGTACCAGGTGAACAACTAAGTAGATATCGTGAATTGAAAAAGTAATGTATGCATATTATCACACGATCAAATAGAGAAACTAAATCTCAACAGACCAACGAAAACTGCAACATGGCTTTTCGCTAACGGAAGATATTGACGATTAAAGTTGGAAAAAGGATTGATGACAGTCGTTTTTAGTTGTTCACCCGGTACAATAAAACCACAATGAAACTCTTTTCCAATATAGTTATTTTCCTAAAAAGTGCGCAGTGTTACTTTTCCGCATGTAAAAACAGTTAGGCGAACGACGCGGAGCTGAGTTCGTATAAAGGAACTTTGCGCACGTGTTAGAAACAACATATTTCCTATGAGCTTCATATCACATAACAATGAAAATAAAGAAAGTACCGCCAAACCCAAAAATGGTGACGAATTTTAGAAGGTTTTGACCAAGTGCCTCTTCCATAAATCTGGAAACTTCACTTTAGTCAAAAATCTTAACCTCTTTTGGTTATCCCCAATTTTGCTACTTTAAACTCGATGTTAGCTTGACATTTCGACTCAAATTCAAGTTTGAGAACATTTCTTATCATAGGTAGTTACTCCTCCTCCTCCTTATGTAGCTAGGTAAATAAGCACACCTATGAGAAAAAAGCCGGCACCAAAGAACACTTAGCAGAAAAAAAACGTACTGACCTACAAGAATATCGCTTTCGCATTATACTGCTACGCGTACGAATCATTCACAGAATATGTTCCATGTTCTTTGGCCACAAACTAATCATCTGCATTCTTCTTTCCAGATCCCAGCACTACGACAATCTTCAGCAAGCTGATAGCCAGAAACAACCTCTGAAAGACACAACCAACACCCCTCCCAAAGTCAAAATAGAGGACAATAACAACCAAGAACCAGAATCAACCCAACAGGACCCCAACGAAACAAACAATAATCAACACCAGCAGAATCATCATCAGCAGCAGCAAAATCACCAGCAGCAGCAGCAGCAACATCAGCAGCAGCAGCAACATCAACAGCAGCAACATCAACAACAGCAGCAGCAGCATCAACAGCAGCATCATCAACAACAGCAGCAGCATCACCAACAACAGCAGCAGCAGCAGCAGCAGGCTAGCAGATCGCTGCAGTGTTTGGAGACGTTGGCACAAAAAGCAGGGATTCACGATATAACGCCAGACGATTGCAAGTATGATGTGGCAAACACTTTGCTGAATCTTGATAGGGGACACGAATTCATCAAGCAGAGCGTAGACGGTAAGTTCCATCTCTTTTCAACAAACACAACAGTTGGTATATTTGAAGGGTATTGCTAGGACACAGAGCTACCACGTGTAAAGGAGGTCAAAATGAGTTTTGGACCCACTTTATTAATGTGCCAAAATGTACCGTTTGTCCGTGAGAATGGTTCAAAGTTCACATAAAAAAACACATTTTTGTACGTTGTTCAGAAACAAGTGAAACGAATTTGATGAAATCTGGCAATAGTGTATTTCAGAGGTTCAATTTCCTTTTAGTAATCGAAGAAACCTGAAAGAAATTGTGGAAGGTTTAAAACCACCCTCACCCCCTGACATTTTTTTCAGAACTTTTTTAGGGGTCATGATACAGTCCTGAAATATTTTGAGCTTGAAGACTAATCAATTACCTTCATTTTATTGCACTTGTAAAAATGTCCTATACCGTATAGTTTCGAAGAAAACAAATTTCTCTCAAATAATGCTACCAACGTAACAATGAAAAAGAGAATTAGTAGGCTTATATTGCTATTGTTATTCTGATGTTCAGGTTTGTTTCGAAGCAATTGACATTATTTGAAAGTTGCTGGATATCTCGAAAGTTTAACGCTCTGTAGATCTGTAACGAAGCCTTTTGCGGACACATGTTTATAGGAAGAAGCTAAATTTTGACCTGAAAAATGAGCTCCTGAAATCATGATACTGAAGTTTCTCAACACCCTGTATAAATATCCGACAGGAAATGCCCAAGACCCTATTTTTTTAGCTTCAGGGCAAGTGACGATAACTATGAGCGATCTGAACAAGCAGCAGATGGACGCGAACGCGCAAGCCCAAGCCCAGGCTCAGGCGCAAGCTCAGGCACAAGCGCAAGCTCAGGCACAAGCGCAAGCTCAGGCGCAAGCGCAAGCTCAAGCCCAAGCGCAGGCCGTGCAGCAACAGCAGCAGCAACAACAACAACAGATGCAACAGGTGGCCCTGCAACAGCAGCAAGAGCAACAGCAGGCGTTGGTACCGTCACAGAGTCCTCATCTGCAACAAGTGACTGTTGGGTCAGGTGAGTAAAAACCTCGAACGTCGAAGTGGAATTTCAATGAGGTACAATTGAAGATAATTATGAAAACGTTGACAGTTGCAGATAAAATTTTGTACGCAACGCGTGGGATACTACATTATTCGCGATAGATAATAAGCGTAACCTATCAGTTATCTAAAAATTGCAAAAATTTTGAAAATTCCTGAAAATTGCAGAAATTGCAAGAATTCCTGAAAATTGGGAAAATTACTGAAGATTGTAACAATTTCAAAAATTCCTGAAAATTGGAAAAATTCCTGAAAAATGCAAAAATTGCAAAAATTCCGGAAAATTGTAAAAATTCCTAAATTCTTGAAAATTGCAAAAATCGCCAAAATGCCTGAAAATTGCGAAAACTGCTAAAATTCCTGAAAATTGCAAAAAATTCCAAAAACTCCTGAAAATTGCAAAAATTGCAGAAATTGCAAAAATTTCAGAAAAATGCAAAAATTCCTGATAATTGGAAAAATTCCTGAAAATTGTAAAAATTTCAAGAATTCCTGAAAATTGGAAAAATTCCTGAAAAATGCAAAAATTGCAAGAATTCCGGAAAATTGTAAAAATTCCTGAATTCCTGAAAATTGCAAAAATCGCAAAAATGCGTGAAAATAGCAAAAATAGCAAAAATGCCTGAAAATTGCAAGAATTGCAAAAAGTCCTGAAAATTGCAAAAATTTTAAAAATTCCTGAAAATTGCAGAAATTGCAAGAATTCCTGAAAATTGGAAAAATTCCTGAAAAATGCAAAAATTGCAAATATTCCGGGAAATTGTAAAAATTCCTGAATTCTTGAAAATTGCAAAAATCGCAAAGTTCCTGAAAATTGCAAAAATTACAAAAATTACTGAAAATTGCAAAAATTGCAGAAATTGCAAAAATTTCTGAAAATTGCGAAAATTCCTGAAAATTGGAAAAATTCCTGAAAATTGTAAAAATTTCAAAAATTCCTGAAAATTGTAAAAATCCCTGAAAATTGCAAAAATTGCAATAATTCCTGAAAATTGCAAAAATTGCAAAAATTCCGGAAAATTGTAAATATTTCTGAAAATTCCTGAAAATTGTAAAAATCGCAAAAATTCCTGAAAATTACAAAAATCGCAAAAATGCCTGAAAATTGCAGAAATTGCAAATATTCCTGAAAATTGCAAAAATTTCTGAAAATTGCAAAAATTGCAAAATTTCTGAAGATTGAATAAATTCCTGAAAATTGCAAGAATTGCAAAAATTCCTGAAAATTGCAGAAATAGCGAAAATTCCTGAAAATTGCAGAAATAGCGAAAATTGCGAAAATTCCTGAAAATTGCAAAAATTGCAATAATTCCTGAAAATTGCAAAAATCGCAAAAATTCCTGAACATTGTAAAAATTGCAAAAATTCCTGAAAATTGCAGAAATAGCAAAAATTGCAGAAATAGCAAAAATTGCAAAAATTCCTGAAAATAATAAAAATTTCTGAAAATTGCAAATTGCGATTTTTGCAATTTTCAGTTTTCAGGAATTTTTGCGATTTTTGCAATTTTCAGAAATGTTTCTAATTTTCAGGAATTTTTGCAATTTTTGCTATTTCTGCAATTTTCAGGAATTTTTGCAATCTTTGCATTTTTCAGGAATTTTTCCAATTTTCAGGAATTTTTGCAATTTTTGCAATTTCCAGGAATATATGCAATTTCTGCAATTTTCAGGCATTTTTGCGACTTTTGCTATTTTTGCAATTTTCAGGAATTTTTAGAAATTTTCACAATTTTCACGAATTTTTGCGATTTTTGCAATTTTCACAATCTTCAGGAATTTTTGCGATTTTTGAAATTTTCAGGAATTTTTGCGATTTTTGCAATTTTCAGGAATGTTTGCAATTTTTGCTATTTCTGCAATTTTTGCAATTTTCAGGAACTTTTGCAATTTTCAGGAATCTGCGTTTTTTGCAATTTTCAGGAATTTAGGAATTTTTATAATTTTCCGGAATTTTTGCAATTTTTGCAATTTTTACAATCTTCAGGAATTTCTGCGATTTTTGCAATTTTCAGGAATTTTTCCAATTTTCAGGAATTTTTGAAATTTTCTCAATTTTCAGGAATTTTTGCAATTTTCAGGAATTTTTGCAATTTCTGCCATTTTTGCAATTTTCAAGAATTTTTGCAATTTTTGCAATTTTCAGGAATTTTTAAAATTTTTGCAATTTTCAGGCATTTTGGCGATTTTTGCAATTTTCAAGAATCTAGGAATTTTTTATAATTTTCCGGAATTATTGCAATTTTTGCATTTTTCTGGAATTTTTCTAATTTTCAGGAATTTTTGGAATTTTTACAATTTTCAGGAATTTTTCCAATTATCAGGAATTTTTGCAATTTTCAGGCATTTTTGCGATTTCTGCAAATTTTGCAATTTCTGCAATTTTCAGGAATTTTTGCAATTTTCAGGAAGTTTTGCAATTTTCAGGAATTTTTGCAATTTTTGCAAATGCTGCAATTTTCAGGCATTTTTGCTATTTTTGCAATTTTCAGGAATTTTTGCGATTTTTGCAATTTTCACAATTTTAAGGAATATTTGCGATTTTAACAATCTACAGGAATTTCTGCAATTTTCAGAAATTTTTTCAATTTTCAGGAAATTTTTGCAATTTTTGCAATTTTCAGGAATTTTTGCGATTTTTGCTTTTTTCAGGCATTTTTGCGATTTTTGCAATTTTCAGGAATTCTGCGATTTTTGCAATTTTCAGGCATTTTTGCGATTTTTGCAATTTTCAGGCATTTTTGCGATTTTTGCAATTTTCAGGAGTTTTTGCTTTTTTCAGGCATTTTTGCGATTTTTGCAATTTTCAGGCATTTTTGCGATTTTTGCAATTTTCAGGAATTTTTATGATTTTTCCAATTTTCAGGCATTTTTGCGATTTTTGCAATTTTCAGGCATTCTTGCGATTTTTGCAATTTTCAGGCATTTTTGCGATTTTTGCAATTTTCAGGAATTTTTGCGATTTTTGCAATTTTCAGGCATTTTTGCGATTTTTGCAATTTTCAGGAGTTTTTGTAATTTTTGCAATTTTCAGGCATTTTTGCGACTTTTGCAATTTTCAGGCATTTTTGCGATTTTTGCAATTTTCAGGGATTTTTGAAATTTTTACAATTTTCAGGAATTTTTCCGATTTTCAGGAATTTTTGCAATTTTCAGGAATTTTTGCAATTTTTGCTATATTTGCAATTTTCAGGAATTTTTACAATTTTTGCTATATTTGCAATTTTCAGGCATTTTTGCGATTTTTGCAATTTTCAGGAATTTTTGCTATTTCTGCAATTTTCAGGCATTTTTGCGATTTTTGCAATTTTCAGGCATTTTTGCGATTTTTGCAATTTTCAGGCAATTTTGCGATTTTTGCAATTTTCAGGAATATCTGCGATTTTTGTATTTTTCAGGAATTTTTCCAATTTTCAGGGATTTTTGCGATTTTTGCAATTTTCAGGAATTTTTTCGATTTTTGCAATTTTCAGGCATTTTTGCATTTTTGCAATTTTCAGGCATTTTCGCGATTTTTGCAATTTTCAGGAATATCTGCGATTTTTGTATTTTTCAGGAATTTATCCAATTTTCAGGGATTTTTGAAATTTTTACAATTTTCAGTAATTTTTCCAATTTTCAGGAATTTTTGTAATTTTTGCAATTTTCAGGAATTTTTACAATTTTTGCTATATTTGCAATTTTCAGACATTTTTGCGATTTTTGCAATTTTCAGGAATTTGCGATTTTTGCAATTTTCAGGCATTTTTGCAATTTTTGCAATTTTCAGGCATTGTTGCGATTTTTGCAATTTACAGGAATTTTTGCAATTTTCGCAATTTTCAGGAATCTTTGCGATTTTTGCAATTTTCAGGAATGTTGCAAAAATTGCAAAAATTCCTGAAAATTGCAAAAATTGCAAAAATTCCTGAAAGTTGCAAAAATGCCTGAAAATTTGCATAAATTGCAAAAATTGCAATTTTCAGGTATTTTTGCGATTTTTACAATTTTCAGGAATTTTTACTATTTTCAGGAATTTTTGCAATTTCTGCAATTTTCAGGAATTTTTGCAATTTTTGCGTCGATATCCCACTTGTCACGTAAATAACTATTATAATATTCCCATCAAGATTTCCATAAAAATTCGCAACATTCTAAGACATTTCCGAGAATATTCGTGGTATCTGGAAATCTGTTCACGTTCGTGCCCTAACCTCTCATTCCGATCTGCAGGCGGCGCTTCGATGGGCCCCCCGCAGCACACCGTCTCGATGCACCAGCAGGTGGCGCAGCAGCAGGGCCAGGTCATCCAGGCCCAAGGGGGCCAAGTGCTGGCCCAGCAAAGCGGCAGCACCACCATCACCACCATGTCGCCGTTGCAGCAGAGCCAGGTAAAACGAGCGAATTTCCAACATGTAGAGTGCCAATCGAATCCTATCGTTCACCCTTATAAAAACTTATAAAACTTATAAAACTTATAAAATGTATATTCTTGAAATCAATTCAATCGAATATATCAAGAAAAAATTTAAAGTATACTTACTGGAGCTAGACATTGACATTGTAGCTAGTATCATAGAAATGTAGGAACATATACAGGGTGTTCCGAAACTATTGTGCCAAAATGTAAGGGTGGGTAGATCTCGCCAAAACAAACGTTTTTTACTTATCAACCCATAGGCGCATGCACCTTATTTCGGTACCAATAGGTATCACAAGAAAAAAGTTTAACATGTGCATACTCAAATAATATCGATATTGAGTGCCCAGCTCTACCAATTTTGACGTATGTACATACATAAATAAATAATATCGATATTGAGTGCTCAGCTCTACCGATTTTGACGATCGAGACCAATCGCTGCGCTCCCGACACTCGTATTGCGTAGACTTCTCATTTATTATTGCGTCGTGGCAATGTGTAAAACCTAACTCAATCTAAATTGTAGTGTTTTTTTTTTATAAACTCTCCCATATATTGCTTGTGATTTCATGTCATTTACTAACACGGTTTCCGGTACAAACACGTTTCCCCGTGTCCGAGGTTGGATACCACTGCGCGGACCTTAATGCGCTATTATCACTGAACGCATGCGCATGTGCCTATGGGTTAATAAGTGAAAAACGTTTGTTTTGGCGAGATCTACCACCCCTTCAATTTTGGCACAATAGTTTCGGAACACCCCTGTATAATATATAATTATGGCTCAGGGCATATGCTAGTAGACTCTTTTTTTCCATACATCCCATGACAACCTGCTGAGGTTTTATGGGTTTGGTTGTTTATTTAATACAATATAGATCAAAATGATCGAAATTACTACTTAACTACTCATATACTTTGTCATTTGTTATCTTTTTCATCTTACTTTTATATTAGGAATTTTTGTATTAATAAACATATATTATTATTATTTACCCCGTGAGAAATCGGAGGTAAAAAGCTGTGACATGGCTAGAATCTCTGTTTTATGATCGAAGCAAGAATTGTTACCTACCCTCTCCACTTGTCGTCAAAAAATCATCCTGTGCGTTTGGGGGGTAGGGGGTAATTTATAAAAAAATATGGATTTTTTTTTTATTCTTGGAAAATATTGATGGGTTTCAGTACTCCCACCCTGTTGAACCTTGATTTCGTGTGACAAGTAGAACAAATTATATAACATTTTGAAATTCACTAATTACATTACGATATATGAGAAAATCATTTCAAACGGCTATAACTCGAAACTTGTGAATTTTCGTTAAATTGTTTTTCATATACCTTGCATTATCTCAGTAACTACAACGTTTATCAAAAAAATACTTGAAATAATGTCGATGCGCCTATGTTTCAAGATGCGAATGGTTCTCTGAATTTGAAAATCGAAGCATAAATAAAGGAGATATTGGCAAAATCATAATCCAATGCAGGTACTACGAAGGACCGCGATTCGCCGCTTTCATACCCCGATTCTCCCCGCAACGCCCGCGGCCGACTGATAGCTTCATTTAACACTTCTGTGAAAGTTTAAAATGTTTTGCTTTTTCCCCATTTTTGATTTTAAACGCTAAAATGATTGGCCTATTAGTACGATCACCGTAAATATGAATTACTGAGTGTTACAGAATAGTACGATCTTGGAATCCACGGGAGAAATCAAATCGATTGCTATTTTTCAAGTTAACAAAAATATCTTAAAACTTTCTGTTTGATTGGAAGTAGTGATTCACACGAGACCAACGAGACGAGACTTTCATAAAGTCTCGTCTCGTCTCGCCGATTAAATATGAAGTCTTGTCTCGAGTCTCGTCTCGCGGCCTCCAGTCTCGTCTTGTCTCGAGTCTCGTACGAGAGTCTCGCAGATGTATCGCAATTTCGTCATGCATGATCTTGTTCCAGTCTAGTACGGGATATTTACCTTTACCTCCTTTCTAGGTATAATGTTAAAGTAGGAAGACAAAATTACAACAAAAACAACATTATTTATTGAAAAGTAAGTACCTTATAGGTATACATACTTACATCATGCATCTAAACAAGAAAACTGAAGTAGCCGGTATGCTTATGAGATCTCGTGCCATCAAATTGAGAATGGGAGATTCAGAAGCATGAATTTTCCACCATTGCAATATATCTGTGTTTTCATTACACCGAAGCACATCAGAATAATATCTTTGAAGCTCCTGCTTCCATACTCCCGTCAAAACAAAGTTATTCTTCATCTTAGACTATTTAGCACAGAATGACTTATTTATAGATTTTCAGGTAGTCATTCAATTTGCGATCTGTCGTTATTGCAGAATTGCCTTTATTTTCCGCCGCCATAAGAGATCATGGATTGTGTTTTTAAAGTATTATGAATGAAATGTTCTGTCTATCTGTGCTACATAGTCTGAATTCTTCCTAAATATATTGTATTATGAATGAAATTCTCAAGTCTGCAGTCGGCACGCAGAAATATTTACCTGCGAGACTCTCGCACGAGACCCGAGAAGTCTTGCACGAGACTCGAGACGAGACCAATAAAAGTCTCGTCTCGTTTTGTCCGAGTCTCGTCTCGAGTCTTGTCTCGAAAACGAGACGAGACCATGCGAGACTCTCGAAAACGAGACTCTCGCGGGCACCACTAATTGGAAGTGACCTCAATTTATTTTGTGAATGATTCTATCTCGAAAGTACATTTTACCTCTGATTTTCCACCAACTTTTGATCTAAGCGACTTACGATTCGTTTGGCACTCTACTAACATGCCGATTTTCATTTCTCTCTACTTATAGTTCAGGAGAATTCACTGAACACATTTCGTGTGTCCCAAATCCGAACCTCTGTTAAATTACGAAAGTTTCAGCAAATTCGCACGAATCCGTTTTGCCCAAACATATTCGCCGATTCCATTAGGATTCAGAAAGTATAGAACTCATGCATTAGATTAATTTATGGTATAAGAAAACGCGAAACTATTTCACACAAAATTCATAATCTCAATATCCGTAGACTACTTTTACTTACAGTACCCGAACACAAAAAAGAAATATTCAAACGATCTTTCAGTTACAATATCCCAATTTTTATAAACAACTTGAATGCACAAGATAGCTTCCTTTTGAATTTATCTATGAGCACTTTATAGGATGAAGTATGACTAGTACATTGTTTTATTAGGATCAAATGTGAAACTTTGTTTGACAAGCGATATTTGCGTTTGCGAGGCTGAGCAACCGCGAGGCCGCGCATGCAAATTTTGCGAGTCAAACAAAGTCACTTTTGATCCAAATGAAGCATGCTATTTTTTCTGCAATCGAAATAATTGACACCTAATTAATAAAATACGAAGTGAAAATACCACTATTTTGATCCACTTGAGCATGTCAGTGTCAAAGCAGCTATCATATCAGCTGTCATACGACACTTTTGAGGTCAGGGTTGGTAGAACTGATAAATATAATTCTTATTTTCGTCGCATTTGGCTTCTTCTTACGATAATATCTTCCGTCAATGTAAGATTGGGCAAGTGGACTGATTTTTTTTAAATTTCTTGAATAAAATCGAGGTTTCCGATTTTCTCAAATTTCTTCGAATGATTTGGATAAAACAGGACTCTCCGGCAAATTTTGGGATTTTTGACTTTGACACTGACCTCACGTTTTAGTTGCGCCAGCGTAGTGAGAGTGTAAATGTTACCCCTCATTGAAGGAGTACAAACTTTGCATCTTTGCTATGCCGCCACTCTACTTTGTAATATAGAACGTATTTAATCATAGTATAGATAGGTATAGGAATATCATAGGGCATATCATTATTCCTTATCTTCCGTTCAGTATGTGCTGCAGCAATGAAAGCCATATTATTATTTTACTGTTCCATGATAGATATAAGGATAAGAGGGGATGAGGGACTCTAGTGCCCTTGTCTGAATTCAAACGGAAGAAAGATCCAATTAATTATATTCTACCTCTCTCAGGTGGCGCACCAGCAGCAGCTGAGCTCCGACTGGAGCCACGGCAGGGCGGTGCAGGTGATCCAGCAGCCGCTGCAGAACCCTACCTACCTACAGCAGCTGTACAACGGCCAGGGACAGCTGCTGATGCCGGGAAACATTGGGAATATCGCGCTGCATCCCAGCATCAACCCTTCACAGATACAGGTACGATTAATCATCACTCTTCCTTCTTTTTCAACACTGATATTCTGTCTTCAATAGATACGAATAAGAAAATGAACGAATCCTATCTTCCTCTATTTAGAATAGTCTACCCAACAGAATTAAATCTATTAGGTTCGTCACAAAATTTAAGTGTGAACTGAAGAAATATATGTTATCAATTAAACTTTCTCCTTGTATCAATCAATTCTGATTAAACCGTCAATTCAAACTTGTTTCCTAATATCGATAGAATATCATCCTGTATTTCAATTAGAGGCGAATTCTTGAAAACGTTTCGAGTTAATAGTCTAATATAAATAATGGATATCGAGAAGGCCGTTTCTGAACATACTGAATCGAATGGGCCATGGTTTTAGTCATCATTTTTTTTTTTTTTTTACTGAAATGATATTTTGTCCTATTTTCTGATCATCCTGTATATTCCACGATAGTGCTGTTTTCGTCTTTCATTGTCCTCCACAAAACATGAGAACAGTTCTTCCCAATAGTCAGCTCAAGTGGAGTTCTAGAGAGAAAATTCAAGAAATGCAAGACTTTCGAAAAAAAATCGAATTTTTGTTCCAATTAAGGAGAAATCACGAAAAAGTCCTTAGATGAGGTCCCAGTGTATCATAATATGACTGACTTTTGATCAGAAAAAAAATTCTCAGTTTTGGCAGCATTGGAAATGTAGACCTTAGTGTAATGGTTTCACTTTACACCCTGTGTAAGTTTTGTTCTGCAAACTTTCTCAGAGTGTTTCAGCTCTCTTTGAAGCCGATGAAACATAACATTTGATATCGAAAACCGCATGAAGATCGGTCAATTTTTTCAAAAAATACAGGTCTTCGAAATAGAGTCAAATTATGAGTTGTCCATTTAGTTAGTGTATTGAGAACTGTATATGGTATTTTTGTTTTCGTCTTGGTGAACAATAGAAGTATCATTATTATTATTATTATTATTTTATTTACTTATTATAATTTTTTTGTTTCCCTCTATAAACATTGTATGTTTCTTGGGATCAATAAATGTTATTATTATTATTATAATTATTATTATTTCTTCCTCAGGTCATCGCCAAGCCGTTCCAAGGCAACCAGCTGGCCCCCCACATGCTCACCACGGCGCAGGGCAAGCAGGTGCTGCAAGGCGGCCAGACGACCGCCTTTCCCGGCTACGCCACCATTCCCACCATCCCCACCACTCAGAACCAGCAGACGCTGGTGTTCAGCCAGCTGGGTGTCATCAGCTCGCAGCCCAACATCCTGCCCAGTCATTCGCAAGGGGGCGGGCAGGTAGCGCAGCAGAAGCCCCAAGAAATGCATAAGGTGAGGTTAGGTTTGGAACGTGAAACACAACTCTTGAACGATTTTCTTATCGCACTTTGCAACGTTGCTCACAATAATATATAACTATAATTATCATAATGAGCTCATTCTGGTGACCCTTAGTTATTCGTGTTTAGTACTAAATCTTTATGTCATCATCATAACCATACAAATATTGTCCACTATCTATTCATCGAACATATTGGTCCTTCGAGTCGGATACCTTTCAAGACTGCCAACTTCTTGACATAAGATACAGAGCAGCACTCAAGATTACCTGGAATAACAGTGAAAACCAAGCAGCTGGAGCTTTCACAGGTAGCAACAAGTACTACAAGCGAACAATTTGCGACAACTTGAACACTTCTGAGCGTTTTATTTTGATGCATGTGACCAATAAGCACAAACAAAAACCAAATGTGAACCAATGAAAGCAGAGTAAACAGACAGCTTTGTAAATACTTTTATGTATGATAAGCTTATTTTTAATCGCGAACATTTCATCATTGACCAAATATCATATCATCCTGCCCAACCATTCGCAGGAATCGTTGGGGGGCGAGCAGGTGGCACAGCAGAAGCCCCAAGAGATGCATAAGGTGAGGTTAGGACGGAGGAATACTTCCAAACCGGTGTTGATATAAATTTGCAACATTGCTTACAATTATCTCGACCTCGACTATAGTGTTCATAATCACTGGTGGAAAATTTCGTGTTGCTGAAATCACTAAAACGACATCAGGTTGAAGACATTAGATAAATAATGATGATTTTATTCTTATTGTCATCCTATTTCAGATGAAACATATTGGTATATTATATATTTCACGTGCTTTTCTAATAATATCAATGGGAAATTTAAACTAACCTCGAAAAGAGCTATTCGTTTTTTTCTGTTGCCAATTTCACTCAAAAAATGATTTACCATCAATCCATCCACCTATAACGTCACTATGGTGGAAATGAACCATAATGGTGCAATTAGCAACATAGTTAATATGTCCAGTTGGAATTTCTGCCCTGCTACTACTCATTGATATAAAAAGTGGTTCACTCAATTCAGAATTTTCTTTCTACACCCTGTATGATGAATATCAATTTGTCATACATTCAAATAAATAGTGGTTGTTTGATGTAACAATCACAGAAAGACTGGAGATGAAGAAAATATTACTACTAAAAAGTAAGGTCATATGATATGATGTTCAGATAGCGGATTTTCTTTGGGATTTTCCAATGAAAAATGAATGTTCCTTTAAACACCCTCAATAATTTCAATTACTACTACTACTACTTCTACTACCCTGTATGAATATTCTACGATTTCACAAATATTATAATTCGAGGTTTATGACAATTTCACTTATTGTAGTGGATAGAACTATAGATTCTATTATCTACTGCAGTTGAAAAATCGAAGGTGCTCATCGTACAGATTCTGAAATAAACATTAAGAAAGTAGCCAAGAGGGATGATTCCCACATGTTCTACTGTGCGACTTCCATAATGAATATTGTTTGTAATCTGTACATTCCACGGTTGCGTAGATTTATCGCTACGAAACGAATGAACATCAATGAAAAATATATCAAATCAAAATATAGTCCATATTTTGGCATTAAAATTATTGGATTCTATAGATTAGATAAGTACATATCGCATTAAGTATATCCAAAGTTGTTGCAAAAGTGGCGCAGTCGGTAGGATTCCTTCAAATAAGATATAAGAATATGAAACATCAATGTAACTGACAAAACAATATGAAATCGAGGAGATTCAAGCAAACACATAGACCTCGCTGCGATGTCAGAGAGATGTTATTATGTCCTACTCAAGTTTCATCCATGCGACGTCGTTGAGATAAGTTCTCGTTTGAAATGTAATTGCGATATGTTATTTGTGATGAAAAAGCGATATATTTTTGTGATAAAACCACGATGTGATGCGAAAAAAAAGTGTCTCAGGCATCGTGACCACTGACTTCTGATGACATCTAATATTGATTATGTGTTGTTGTGACTGGTTGGTAGCCTTCGGGTCTCCTGTCCATTCAATCGTCTTTTCAGCGGCGCTATCCTTATTGGTAATACCTACGAATCTTTATCAGAATGATATCAGTTACACGCATTTGTATGTAACGAATGTTTTCGAATTTAGCTTCACTTTGTTGGGAACGTATATTCATGTATTCTTTTTCACCAAACAAGAATCTGAATATCAAATTTTTGAAAAATTCTCGCATATGAGTTTGCTTCTGTACATTGCAGCGATGCAACATTCGTGATATTGCATTGTTGTCTCATCATGACATATTAGAGATGTCATGTCGCAGATGTGTTTGCTTATGTACATCGCAGCGATGGAACATTAGTAATATCGCAGTGTTGCCTCATCGCGATATCTCAGAGATGTCTTGTCGCAGATTTGTTTGCTTATGAACATCGCAGCGATGGAACGTTTGTGATATCGCACTGTTACCTCATCGCTACATCTCAGAGATGTCATGTCGCAGATATGTTTGCTTATGAACATCGCCGCGATGGAATGTTTGTTATATCGCACTGTTACCTAAACGCAACATCTCATAGATGTCATGTCACAGATGTGTTGGTTGGGATGATGCTTGGTGTAACACATTTTGTGAAACTATTCAAGTTGTGTAGTTGATAACAAATAAGAATCGAAGAATTGAACAAATTTTGATATGGGTCATCCTGTCAATTTCTCAGCATTTTAGAATAAAAGTACTTTTTAATATTGAAATTGGCGTATGCACTTCTTATGATTTTGGATTTTCTGTAGGTGATGGGAACGCAAAAAGTGCAAATGCAAAAAGTAGCGGGTAATACAGGGGCAGTGGCCCAATCGCAACAGCAAGGCCAGTGCGTCCAAGTATCTCAAATGCTGGGCACTCAGCCGACTGCTCAAATTATCAGTCCTATACAAGTAAGAGTCTGGCATTGTTAAGAAGCAGTAGAATTGTGAGGAGTAGTTAGAAAACGCATTGGAGTTTGGCATGGATAATATTAAACAGTAGATTATTGATTAACCTGACACATTTTTGTTTCCAAATGAGAAATTACGCGAAAAATTTCACCGCGAAAACACATAGAAAAAATGAACACTAGGCGATATGATTATTTCTTGGATACAGGAACGTGTGTCAAGTGTTGAATTTATATTTCTAAATTTAAATTGGAATGAAATTATTCCACAACAATATGTTTGCGTAAAGATCATCAATAATAAATAAATAATCGGCTAACAATAAAGAAGAAAACTAATAGTAACCTTCAATAAAGATTCATTCAGAAACATCGGAACCAAAAGAATTTCTACTAAAAAAACTCTTCGAAATTGAACTCAAAATAACATCATTTCTTTGTGGCTACCCCTTCAAGTAATATCGTTTGGAATTTTTGAATTATTAATGAAGAAATACTCCAATAACGCTCTATGTATATCTCAATAACTGCTAGTTTATTCGAGAATTCGAAAAAATGTTGTTAAATAATAGAAAGATGAGGGGTTGAAACTGAACCATCTGTACAATGTTGTTATATCATTTTTTCAATTTATGTAGTTGGTATTCTTCCATTTTAGTTGTAGTTTTTTTCTTGAATTGTTTGTCACAGTGATATTTTCCATAGATTATGTGTTTTCATGGTAAAATTTTGATAGTCAGTTTGATAATAATATATCACAGAGTATGGCAACAAAAACATGAATCTTAAAATTCAAATTTTGAGATTTTTTAGCAAATTTTGGAAACTTGGAAATTTGGTATCTTCTGTTCGATTTTCGATGGACTGAAGACAACCAGTAATTCTTTACCATTTCCTATATAATTTGGGAGATCTCTGTGAGCAATTGAGAAGAATAAAATATGCTCTTCGTTCCCCTCTCAACATTACCTCAAGTCAAATTCTCCAAAAAGACTCTCTGTATAGATGTTTGCTTTTTATTTTATAATCCTTCATTTTCATATACTCAGTAGCATTAATTATTTGATAAAGGTTGGTCCGACAGCTAGTATATTATCACTGCATTCAATGATCAGAAAACAACAAACATTACAAACGCAAAAACATTTTACTGTTAAATGGAAAAAAAGTTGCACATTCAGAGGATCATTCCAACTTTTTCTGTTGAAAATTATTTATAATTTTTCACTTACTGGTTACTCGATACAAAAAATCAAGAAAAGCATCGCTTCAAATTGTTTTATGTAGATGGATTCTCACTTAGATTACCTTTATAACTTAATTTTCTCAGAACGAATTGTAATTGAAAGCAATTACATTCATAACAAATGTTCAAAATGATGGTAGTTTTCTTAACAAATATATCTTCTTACAGTTGCTTCTAAGACATTTCTAAGCATTTTCTATTAACACAAATAATATACTTAATTTACAACCATCATATTTCGATCAAAATTAATAAATCTCTTCTCATGGCACTCTAGATTGAAAATATGAGAATGATAAATGTATAAAAGTTGCAAATGGGGTGTCATCGTACTAACAATGTGATTATTCATCGAAATAAATGAAAATATACCGGGTGTCCCATTCAAAATGAGAAAATAAGGGTAATTTCCGGTCAAACGGGAAGTGACTGAAAACAATTGAAAACGTCGAAAAAAGCATATTTATTCACTATACTCACACACCGACTTTCATCTGTTTATCTGTAGAAATAAAAAAGCTATAGGGGTGAGCCACTTTTGAAAAACATCCGGTATATTAACTGAGATAGCTATCAAGTAAAATATATCAGTTTATCACATGAGTCAATGGGGAAGTGTCCTTCAGATGAATTTGCATAAAATAAGTTCGGAACTCTCCAGTTTTATGTCCACGTTGTACAGGAAGGCAACCGATAAAGTCCAAGTCGTTTTCATTTTCAAATTAAAGCAATTTCTAATTTTTGAGGCGGCAAACTGTGACGTACATTCTGAATCTGGTCTGAATATAGCTGATGGTGAAGAATATAGTTAGCGAATAGCTAACGAATGAAAAAAATAGAAGAAGAAGTAAAACTGGTAATCAAAAACAAACATAGCCACAAATGCACTCTGAGCAGGAATGCAGAAGGTAGTTGGCTTCATTCTGACAGGTTATGGTTTTGTTATTTATGTATTGAAATATCTCTAATAATAGCGCTCGATTCTACTCGAAAATATCATTGAATCAATGAATCACTATCGGCTACATTCAATAATACTATCCTTCTTAACTTCCTGCCATCGGTCAGAACAGAATGAAGCTGACACCCATGGCTCCTTCCTCTTGTTGTGTCGTGTCAGTATTTTGAGTGGTGTGGACGGACTCCAAAGTATTAGGCTCTGTTGCAAGATATAATCTGCAACTTTCCTAGAAAATAAATCCGGTTTATTAAGGAACGAATTCATTAGCAAAAAATTGACTGACAAGTTATGAATAACACATTGTAATATAACGATAGTGAAAATTTATAGATACTATCGCAAAATATCATAATTTATCTTCATTATTAATCAACTTCATTCAGCCAATGAGAGATTCATGGAAATTATTCATAATATAATACTTGACAAAGTAGTATTGGACAACCTATTAATATTCCATTGCTGTTATGATATAGTTATTAAGCATTCAAAGAACAATTTCCGAAAATCTAGACATATTGATTGTGTCGGCAACGTCGTACTGGCACAGGAAATCGTATTTCAACTAACTGTGTGAATGTGGATTTTCAGAAAGTAAGTCATAGGAATGGTGAAGGAGCCAAGTTCCTCTTTTATAATTTTTTTTCTGAAGTGGAATTTGATCTTAGGTACTCAATACCATTCAAGAACTTCTTCTTAAATGTTTCCTATCGTTTTTCTTTTTCTTCTGATAGTGCAGAGACATTGTGCATCGCTCACCCTGTACTGTACAATATATCGCGACATTTGAATGAAAATATACAGTGTGACCCACTTCTAATGGAAACACCCCTGTATCTTACGTATTCGTTGGATGAGGATCCTGAAATTTGCTGAAGCGAGAGATATACCAAAAATGCACTCTATGACCAAGTGGAGTCATCTTCAGTGATATACACTGCTCGCCAACAGTCATGGAACCACCTCAATCTCCGGAAAATGATGTTAGGAGTGCAAATAGGTTGAAAATCACTTCGGATTCGGAATCAGGACGCCCAAATCACTAACTATTAATGGTTTTCCTAGAGAATTTTCAGTTTCGAAATATTAAATTTTGTCTCACTTCTCATGGAAGCACCACCGTATCTCACGTAATTATTGAGGTAGGGTTCTGAAATTTGCAGGAGGAAGGGAAAGTCCAAAGATAAAGTCAATTACGTAAGATACGGGGGTGCTTTCGTAAAAAGTGCGACATAATTTTTCAGAACTGAAAATTTTCCAGGAGAAATATGAATGGTTGGTAAATTGGGCATCCTGATTCCGAATCTGAAGTGATTTTCGAGCTATTTTGACTCCTTATATCATTTTCCGGAAATTGGGGTAGTTCCATGGCTGTTGGCGAGCAGTGTATATAAATGAAATTGTACATAATATTTGATATATCTCTCGCTCCAGCGAATTTCAGGATCCTTACCCAACGATTACGTAAGATACAGGGGTGTTTCCATTAGAAGTGAGTCACACTGTATATATTATTGTTTTACAAACTTCACAGTGAGATAAAAACCTCAATACAGGGATTACAGGGTGTTGCGAAATTCGACCGACAACGCTTGACAGGTGATAGCCCTTGGGATTTCATGATCACTGAGGTAGGGACATACGGTCTTCAAGTGTTCGCAACACCCTGTATAGGAAACTTCCCCATTCTGTGTCCAACAATCTTGAACTGAACAATAAAAAAGCAGACAATCTCCACATAAAATCAGATGACAAAATATTCTAACAACCGAGAAAAAAAAATCCACAAACGAACAATCTCTGATTCTGACTCCCATCTCTCTTTGTTCCAGCAAAACGGGCAGCAGATGCAGTTCGCCGCGCCCTGGCAGTTCGCCAACGGGCTGCAGCAGGTGTGGACGACGAACGGGCTGCAGTCGCAGGCGCTGCAGCTGGCGCCCAACCAGATCTTCATCCGGGGCACGCAGGCCGACGGCTCGCCGGGTCCGGGCATGTTCATCCAGAATCCGCAGGCAGCCACCATCCAGACGCAGCAGAACCGTAAGCCATTATTATAGACTAAGATCCGACTGCAATAGGGTATGCAATCCCGGAGTAATAATACAATCCCTGGGTTCCGGGATCAAATTGATACGAGAAAAGTATATGGGGTATACTACTGTAGATACGTAGTGATTACATAAATACTCGTATATGAACAAGAAATTTAATCTAAACTACTCAACACTAATTTCGTCGCATACCAAAATGTCGCCCCTGTTATAATGTGAAGATCTTTTTTCAGTTTAGAACAATTTGAATTTTGCGTACGCATATTTTCCTATATATTTTTAACAGCTGCTCATTTTTTGTGTAGAAACGATCGCTGCTCAAGGTACTGTCCAGCAAATCTCCAAACCCAGGCCTGCCAACGACAACATTCAGCCCAAACAACAGGCTACAAGGCCTCTGAACATACTGCCCTCCAATGCTGCCAACATTCGACCTGCCAGCTCAGTGTCCACACAGACCATTGGGGCCCAAACACCAGTAAGTACCAATATTGAATGACCCTATTTCCCATAGGGTACTTCCTACTTTGAGATAACTGCAGAAAACTACTTGAATTTGGGTAGATGAATGACTGGATTTTGAGTAAGTACTTGACACTATTGATGAGTAGGTTGATTTGACTTCCTCATCAGGAACTATAGTGAAATACGTTTTCAAAAAAATACTGAAGCTTTAAACTAAGTCTCTGAACCACAATCGATCAATCAAAATCACTCAATTAGTAGAGGCTACCAGTACAACAATAGTTCGACTACCCTGATGATTGTTTCACTCATTTTCGATTCAAATGAAAAAGCTAGTTAGTATAGGCGAGAGATATTGTAATTCCCTTTATTTCTGGGGCCCTTTGGCGCTTGTTTGGACAGACACTACTCTGGTACGACATGTCTCGGGCGCCAGATTGTTTATGAGGTGGTTTACTCCACCTGCTTCTATAAACTCAGTTTATTAGGAGGCCTGGGTAACAACAGTGGAGACAGGTACAGGAGGTATACCTATCTCGGTACCTACAGTATCAACCAGGGGTCAATGTTATTGAATCGACCTGGAATCAAGAAGCCACGGGAATGTAGGCTTTAATTACAAACCCTGGGTTTAGCCTGGAATACTGGTTGCTATCTTTATGCTGGATAATTACAGGAATCAAAGCAAATATCTGTCGAAACGGGTATCTCGTATTTTTAGGTTAGGGCTGGAAAATTATTTAGCTACTTCGAGCACTCATGATATTATCCCTGCTGATTATTTCACTCATTTTCGATCTAAATGAAAAAGCTAGTTAGTATAAGCGAGAGATATTGTAATACCCTCTATTTCTGAGGCCCTTACTTTGGACAGAGACTACTCTGGTACTTGTCGGGGAGTCTCGGGCGCCAGATTGTTTATGAGGTGGTTTACTCCACCTGCTTCTATAAACTCAGTTTATTAGAAGGCCTGGGTAACAACAGTGGAGACAGGTACAGGAGGTATACCTACCTCGGTACCTACAGTATGAACCAGGGGTCAATGTTATTGAATCGACCTGGAATCAAGAAGCCACGGAAATGTAGGCTTCAATTACAAACCCTGGGTTTAGCCTGGAATACTGGTTGCTATCTTTATGCTGGATAATTACAGGAAGCAAAGCAAATATCAGTTGAAAACGGGTCTCTGGTATTTTTAGGTTAGGCCTGGAAAATTATTTGTTCACACTATTTCATTAAGTCTACCTGGAGAATCGGAAACACAGTTCCAAACGAATTAAACAGGTTCAATTCGTATTTATCTTTCCTTTTCCTTCAATTTCCTAATTTTTGCCATATCGGACTAGCAAACTAGCTTTTTCATTTAGATCGATCATTGTGTCTATAGATCTATTAGAAGGGGAGCTGGTTGCAAATTTCGACCGTCATCTGATAACGAAATGTTATATGTTTCTAAAGGCATGTTAAAACCTCGTTGAAAACATTTTTTTTATTGAACGACACCGAGATAAGAATTATGCCATGGGATACCAATAGGTCTTTTCATTTAGATGACAAATGACAATCGTTGTTTACATCTCGCCTCCAACGACAGTGGCGGCGAAAATTTTTTTAAGGAATTATTCAAATTATTGTTGTTGACATTGACATTTCTCATTTGATGTTGATCAGGAGAATAATGTGCATGCAGAAAAAAAATCAAATTGATATCATGTTGAAGAAAGCAGGAAATAATGGAACAAAATGTACACAAGGTTTCTACAGCAGAATGATTGAGTTATAAATAGGTTTCATCTAGTATTTATTCTCCACTGAGCACCATTGACGACATGAAAAATAAAAATACAACTTTACCAGGAGCCTCTCATTCAACGATACAACTCTGTGGCTTTAAATTTACCGAAATGAAGGAAAAGTCTCACTACCTGATTCAGGTAATATGTGGTAGGTCTAATCTACATGATTTATTTTTTTAAATGTAACTACACTCTCAATCTGGAGGCTTATTTTCCATGCTGTTACTGTAAAGTGGTAGCGAAGCTAATGACTATTATTGAAGTATGTAGAAAAGGTTCAGTTTAGGAGGAACATTCTGATCTTGGTGAGCATGAAATTATTTGGAGGCTTCTTGATGCTGTTACTGTAAGTGGAATGCAAGATATAATGACTATTGAAGTATGTGGAGAAGGTTCATCAGTTTAGGAGGAACATTTTGATATTATGGTGTGCATGAGAGTTTTAATATCAGGCATTGATGTTATACAAAGGGATTAGTTCAGTAATAATTTTCATTATATTTTGAATAAGTACTTATTACATAAGATTTTGCTCAATTTTGTATACTTCCATACCAAAATTCTAACAGTCAGAACATCTCTGCTTGGACTCATTGATAAGATGCTGAGAGAGGGCATTAGTTTCTAGAGGCAAGCAGTATAAGCTTACTATTTCAATTACCACCTATCTAGTAGTATATTGAAAATATTTAATTTTTGTTCTGTACTCAACTATATCATATATAGTCACAGATTAACAATAAGGTTTGTTAATCTGTGACATAGTCATCTATGAAAATATACAATAGGTACTTTGGATTATCAAAGAATAGTCCTCTGGGACAGAAATTGTTCAAAGCTTTCTTTAATATGAATAATCAACACATTATTTTGTATCTGGACAAAAGGCCACATTTGATTATTCACAAGCAAAATAAAAATCAAGACCATTCTGATGGAGTTATTTAATTATTATAAATTCAAATTAGTGAATAATATCAAGGAATACATAAAGAATGTCAGATCATTTTCTGATATCAAAATGATAATACTCCTGTTCAAAATTAAGGCACCACTCACATTTCTTTGAGTTTTAAATTTTTCTACCATAGCATTTAATTTTGCTCAAGTTCTCAATATTTGAATAAGGATAACTCATCCTCAATGCAATACTCTCTGATTACCCTTATTTATATATTATTATCCTAATAATTTACTAGAAATTGCAATATAAAGAATATATCAAAATGATTATTAATGACTACAGGTGTATTATCTAATGCCATATGCTTACAATATAAATCAAACTATTTGAAAGCTTGAAAAGTCCAGTCTGTAACATAATGTTATATGCAACAATTTCTGATAAATTTGTGATTACTTCATTAGATCATTAAACATAATATTCAAATTATAACTAACATATATCATTCATTTATTAATCAGTTTTGCTGTGAAAATAATAAAGGAAAGCACATTTTATAATTAGGTATTTTCGAAAAATTCATACATGACAGCATTCCTGATTCACAAATTTATTACAATTCATTATTACTGTTTCACTCCTAGAAAGTCATGAAAACAAAATATAAACATTTCAAAATTAACAGATCATTTATTCATTAGTTTTGATGTTAGAAATAAAAGGGAGCAATTGTATAGTTATTATATCAAAAAAAAACATCACTATATCTTTACTGATTCTCTTCTAGAAAATAATTAGAAGAAAATATGAACATTGCAAAATAACATAGAACATTAATGTACCTATTGAAAATAAAGGGTAGCAAATGTTATAAGTTATTACATCAAAAAATTGTTCACACTACATCTTTACTGATCCACTTCCTCTAGAAAATAATTAACACAAAATATGAAAATTTAGCAGTAACAGAACATTTGATGAGTATTAAGAATGAAGCAAATATATTTACAGTTGTTATTATATTGAAAATATATGATTCACTTCTAGAAAATAACTAAAACAAAATATAAACATTACAAAATAAAATATATCATCGATGAATTATTTTTGCTGAGTATTAAAAATGAAGGTGAGCAAATGTTATAACAGTTATTACATAAAAAATTCTTTACACTACATCTTTACTGATTCACTTCTTGAAAATGATTGAAAGCAAATTAAGAAAGAGATTTAGAACTAACACAGAACATTTATTCATCATTTTTGATAAGTAGGTACTAAGAATGAATCCATCAAATGTAATAATAGTTATTATATCAAAAAACTCATTACTCTACAGCATTAGGTAGTGATTTACTTCTATAAGTTATTCAAAACAAAATATTGAAATTTAGAACTAACATGGAACATTTATTCATCATTGTTGCTGAGTAATAAAAAATAAAGGGAGCTAAATATAATAATATAATTATTACGTTCAAAAATTCATTACACTACAGCACTACCAATATCAACTTCTAGAAAATAACTAAAACAAAATATGGAAAAATTGAACTTATTCATTATTTTTGATAATTAATAAGGATTAAAATGATTAGTCATTATATTGACAAAACACACTTGAGAAGAGAAATATAATACATTATACTGGGTGACACAATGTAACTCTTAGTCTTTACGGTAGAAGAAGAATAAAATGAACCTACTCACAGGGGATTTTTTTTTCTTCCTCAAAACACAAGATACGTTTTCACTATATGAGAAGATATACAGGAAGCAACAAAAAGTGTAGGAATTTTGAATAGAACACCCTATATATCTATCTATAAATCGAGGTATATTGATGTTATCTATGACAATCAATTCTCATTGGTAGTGATCACTGATAATCATTATTGTAATCATTGAAAAGGCCTCCTTTTGAAAATCATTCAAAATCGATCAAACTTTATTATTTCTGAATGCTCATAAACTGAGAAATAGTGTTCCAATTCAAAATTCACACACTTTTTGCTGCCTCCTATATATTTTTCTGTAGGTAAAAATTTATTTGTCAATTCTTGTCGGCAAAAAATCCCCTGTGAGGCTATTTTAGTTTTTTTTCTACTGTCAAAAATAAAATATTCTTGGGGGTGGTACTTTTCTAATGTGTCACCAGGTGTGTAGGCCAACATAGAAATAATGCTACTAATTTAATAAAATAATAACTCCATGAAATTATAATAGGAAAATATTCATTTCAAGTTTGCTTGGTATGTATACTATGTTTTCTACAGTCTGTTTTCAAGAAAATTGAAAACGGTTGTAGGATGC